CTTTTCCAGATGTCCTTTGTTTTTTTACCTAAAGTCTTCTTCTTGTTTAATCTGGGCATCATTTTCTCTTAGACTCTTGTTGGTTGGGGCAGTTTCTCACTTCCCTTGTTTTAGTGATGCTTTTGGAGGTGATTGGGTGGGTGATTTGCGTGTCTCTCAGTTTGGGTCTGTTGGTATTATTCTCCAGAGTAGATGGAGTTAGGAGCTTGGAAGGGAGAGCATGTTGCATCACATCACATCACATCACATCACATCACATCACAGTCCACACAAGCAGCACTTCTGACGCTGACTCTGATCACTTGGCCCAGGTGTGTTTCTCAGATATCTCCACTGAAGGTTACCCTTTTGTTTCTTCATTTAACACTGTATTCTTGGTCAGCCAGGTGTGGTGGCATTCAGGAGGCAGAGGCAGGGGGATCTCTGTGAGTTTGAGGCCAGCTTAGTGAGCTCCAGGACAGTCAGGGTTATGTAGAGAGACACTGTCTCTAAAAATCACAACAAAAACTATTCTTGGTCAGGAAGCTCCCATGCACAACCTATATCAAAAGGGGTATTATATTCCCCTCCTTGAGGGTGAAGTCCTGTATAAATTACACTTTTGCATGAGAGAGTTCTCTCGGTGATGTGTTTAGTCATCCATTTACTTCTCACAATGGAGTCATGCATACTTGTTTTATACTTGGGGTTTTAATCCCCTCTAGTACGCCTTTTTGTGTTTAAGCATTGCCTTGTTTTCTGTGCATACAGAGATGCTACAGGCACATCTTATATATACTTCTGCATATATTTTTGCTCCATTCTTAGAAGCAGTCATTTCTCCAAGGATCCAAGTTGAAACCTGAAAAGGACAACAGCTCCTGAAACTTACATACGTAGCAATGCTACGTCATTATGATAATGTTATCTGTTAATGCTATGTTATTATGAGAATGCTATCTGTAATGCTGTGTTATTATGATAATGTTATCTGTAATGCTGTGTTATTATGAGAATGCTATCTGTTTCTTCGGAGCATGCTGACATGCTCTCTTAAAGCATCCTTTTCTGAAGGATGTGTATTTTGTTTTGTTTCATTTTATTTTGTTGGTGTGGGGCATATATTCTTTTCCTGCGACTCATCCCCAGTCCCCAAAGTACATATCTTTAATTGTTTGAAGCTGTAGGAAGAAGAGAGACTCTAGCTGCCAATGCCACTGAAAGTTTCTTTGCTTTTATTTCTATATGTAATGCCATCAGATACAAGTCCTAGAAAGAATACCTCAGATCTATTTCGAATGCACAGAGAGAATTCACCGAAGATCTCCTTCACAGTACAGTTCTTCAGTAACTGTCCGTGGCTTCAAAGCTCAGGCTGGAGCTGGAGAACTGCTGAGGGTGAGGTAGCTGCCCCGGGAGTTGGCACCTGAATTTACCCATTAGGAGTGACAGAGAACACCACAGTCTGAATTCACAGCAGTTCTCCTGCACGGCTGTTTCCCCCATCACTTGTTTACCTTTGTGTTATCAAGAGAATCTTGCCCATGACCAAGCAGGTTACACTGGACAAGAATTGAAAGTATCTGTCTTGTGGAAAACTTAAGTCTGATTTGCTTGGCTGGATGTAGGTATGTGATCCTCAGGGTGATTAAACCTTTTGCATAGAATGCTGGGCTAGGTGTAAGTAGCTAAACTGATTTTTGTTATAAGCTGCTAACTCAAAAGGAGCTGTGAAGCCAAGCATAAACTAAATAATAAACAGATGTGAGTCACCAAATATAGAAAGCCTGGTCCTGACTGCAGTGGGGCACTATGAGATGATAGGGTATTCACGGAAAGATGCAATTTACGGGTCACAGTGTAATAGTAACCTTTCACTGTAAATTGAAAATTAACCTTGGCATATTAGATCATTTGCAACTTATGGAGTCATTGTCTTGGATAGGAAGAGGCACTGTGGTCAGGTGCCAGGCTCTCCTCTTAACATCTCCATGTCTTCTTCAGTACTATAGTTTGAGCAAGCTGCTGATGCTCAGTTATAGTACTAGATCATTGGGAGCTGTTCTTCATTCCCTTCTCATAACCTGGAGACTTGGAGTAAGAGTTTTGATCCCAGCTTTCCTGTGACACACCATTGAACATTTTGTGCACCATCTTAACCAGCCAAGAACAGCCGATACTAAAAGGGTGGGTACATGTTGCTGTTGCTTTGTGGCAAACAGCCAAGACTGGGCATAGAAAGCCATTTGGTTTTCATAGACACATCTTTCTGCAACCATGCAGGTCTTCACGCAGTGTTCTAACCCTTGTGTCCCTGCCCACAATAAAGATGACAAGGCTGCAAAGATACAGTGACTTGGTGGCCTTGTCAGAGGCAGCTTTAGAAGATAAATCCTTTGCTGATTCGTCACAAACAGGAAATCACAAAGCAAAAGAGTTTCTCAGTGGCGATTTCTCATAGTACTTGACAAGCACAGGTGTTCCGTTACAGTATGTGTGATTTATCTTAAGGGCGAGGCACAGAGAGCTTACTAAGACTAGCAAAGTGAACTGATCAGAGTGTACTGATCAGTTCCATGCTGAGAAGGGGACAGGAGGACTCAAGTCAATGAAGGAAATCTCAGCATGTATCCAGAACAGAAGAGTTGAGTGCAGTACTTGAGATGGGGGCTGCCCAGTTCAGAGTGCAGGAGGACAAGGTCAAGAGCTCGGGTTTGCTCTGTTGATGTTCTGTCATCTCTTCTTTTACAGCCTAGCCTGCTGAGTACATTTACAGTCTGATCATAGTTCCACTCCGTTTGTCCTAGGCTAACCCCACCAGTTTTAAACCATCAAAACACTGTGAAGAGATAGTTACTTTCCCTAGTGCACTGAATATAATTTGTGACTGGTTACTTGCAACCAGTGACCTGAGTGTGTGTGTCTGTTATCCTAAACAACCTCACACTTGTGCAGCTCACCGCTTTAGCAGATGTCATGTAAGAGCATGGAGAGCCCTGGAGAGACTGCGTGAAGAGTGCGGTGTGGCTGCAGCCTGCCTGTCCGTGTCTGTCATACCCCAACTGGGCACTGCACCCCACATTCTCTTCTGTCTTAAGGAACACCCAAGTCATTCTGCCATAGTGCCCCTGGCACTTATACATGTTCCTGCTGTGTGCCTTGGGAGGTCTTAGCATTAAAGGTAAAGAAACAGCTCTCCATCCCAGCCTCTGAAAAAAACATGTTTTTCAAAGTGTTCTGCCATTTGGTTTGTGGGAAATGACCTAGAAGTCCTGATTTTAAAGTGATTCCTGGTCTTCCCAAAGAAAAAAACAAAATGGCCTCTGTGCTAAAGGACTGAGGATCAAACCCCCATGTCTGGTAACCACATGTGCATCCTGCTGGGGACCCTCCGACTGTGAAGGCTTCATCTTCACCAGATGCTGAGGGGTAGCCTCAAGCATTGCCATTGTACAAAGAAATAGATGTTGAGGCTGCCACCATTGCAGAAATTCTGGATCTCTGACCAGAAGTCTTATCATGTTCTCTCTATGGGGATGAGCATAGACAGGACGCTACGACTGAATTCATGACACCTGGCACAAGACAAGAGTTAAGTGTGCTTGTTATTTCTTGAGTTCCCAAAGCCCAAGATAAAATCTAGATGTTCAAGCGGTATTCAAACTGAAAACACAGAGTCTCACTCTTCCCCAAGAGAGGCTCATGCTGGGCAAGAACTGTGTGTGCTTCCTGGCCTCTGGCAAAGCTGCATCTGGGGAACAGAGCAAGGGAAGGCCCCACCTGGAACCCACTGAGGGAAGCTGTGGCCTTGCTGAGCTGGGCTGGCATTCCTTTAGGCTCTGAGAGGGTTGGGTGCTATTTTATGTAACTGTGATGAGATTGTTCTAAAGAGAACCCCTTTCCAGAAAAAGTCATAAAGACCTCATGTATTAACCTAAAACTGATTATGCCACTAATGATTTTTAAATTTTATAATAAATAACTGTAAATAAAAATAGCTCCTATATTTGAGAACCTACATAAGCCAGGAATTTATTTACATCATTTCAGCCTTAGGACAGTTTGCAAGTGTCCTTCTCACATTACAGAGGAAAGCACACCTTGACAAAATAAAGAATTGGACACAGAGCTGCTGGGTGTCACAGCCATACTCAACTCAGAACCCAGGCTGGGCTTCTGCTTTGTTATTGTCTCTGTCCTAGCTATCATTAATTGTCAACTTGACACAGACTACAGTCACCCAAAATTGAGTCTCAAGTGAGTAATTTTCTTTTATCATATTAATGTAAGTGATGGTTGTAGGAAGGCCCAGCCCATGGTGTGAGTGCTGCCATCCTTAAACAGGTGGTCCTGGGCTGCATTAGAATGCTGTCACACATGAGGCTGGAAGTGAGCCAGAAAATGAGCCAGCAAGCATGTTTCTCCATGGTTCCTGCCCTGACATCCCTCAGCCATGTGATCTGGAAGTCTGAACCGAGTAAACGCCTTCCTCATGAGGTTCCTTTGAGCCAAAATGTTTTATCACAGCAACAGGATGAAACCAGGGCAGTCTTCTTTACATCTGTAGCTGTTATGTAGGTACCCTGATGTTTACTATGAGTTCATTAATCAGGTATCAACTTAATCCTTTCTACTAGGAAAAAAAAGATAAAGAGGATGGAAAAGCCTGCAGAACCACAGGCAGTGGATTGGGACAAATCGTGAGACTCAAGTCCTAGATGGGTTCTTAGGGATGCTTTCCTAGAGTCTGAAGCCATCTGCTCTGGGAATCCAATCAGAACACATTGCAAAATAGTCTTTATGGTGCATATTGGTCTTCTTTTAAACAAACAAACAAAAAATAACTTGTTCACCTGTTAAAGAACTGTTCAAAAGTGTGTGGCAGAGAGATGAAAGTTACCCACTTCGTCTCTCTGCATCAGCTGTGTCTCAGTGGGCTCTGTGCACACCAGTGTGCTGTGTTTCTTCACATAATTTTCCTCAGGTGGTGGTTCCTCACACACACACTCTGATCTCCTCAGGTGGCACTGGTGCGATGGACAGAGAGTGTCGGGCTCACTCTGGTCAGCAGGGACCTTGCTTCCATGCAGCTGAAGACCCCCAGTGGCCAGGTCTTGACTTACTGCATCCTGCAGATGTTTCCCTTCACCTCTGAGAGCAAGCGGATGGGCATCATTGTCAGAGTACGTCATGGTTTCCCAGCTGTGCTCACACACCAGTTTCTCCAGGCACTGTTTCCAGGCTTTAAATCTATACAGAACACCCCCACACACACAGAAAATTTCAAGGTCAGATATTTACTCAGTACTTTGTGCTTTATTATTGTTTTGTTTTAAAAAAGAAGAAGAAAAGAAAAGAAAAAACTCAGTAATATATGAACTGAGAAGCTTGTGTGGCTCCAGTTGATAAAGCCATTCTTCCTACAACCACTGAAGCAGAACAAGTAGAGGGCAGTAGTAATATTTTAATGAAAATTGCTTTGTTTTGTCCTCAACAGAAATCATATAACATGCCAAAGAATTTAATGATTTATGACCACAAAGTTACTAATACAAACCTTTTTTTCTGGTTACCTTAACCAGTACCAAAATTATATTTTGTAATTTCATTTGCTAAATAGTGAAATTGTCACACTTGGGGAAGTGGAGAGCATCGATACTTAGACTACAGACCAGATCTGTGCCAAGAACTGAAGTGCAGCACCTTAGGTGTTTGCCTCTCACTGCGCTGGTGTGAGGATGGTTTCTACAAAGAAAGCCCATGATACGTTCTCTAAGACCTGCTTCCTCCAGAGCATCTCTTTAAGCCAGTGGTGATTTACAGGGAGCAGTGCAGCCCAACTGTCTTCTGTGTCTGTTCTTACCCTTCTCCAGGACGAATCCACAGCAGAAATCACATTCTACATGAAAGGTGCTGACGTCGCAATGTCCACCATTGTCCAGTACAATGACTGGCTGGAAGAGGAGGTAAGCAACCTATTCTCAGCATTGTACAAAATGTCTTCATGAAATTTAGTAAGCCAGCGACAGAAAAGTAGTCCCTTTTCCACACTTGTACCATTGGAATGAATCATGTCGTCACCATTTAAGCCAGGCATGGACAGGTGGCCAGGGATGGTAATATTTTTCTACTAAATTTTCTAAATATTTATAGTTCCTTCCAGGTCCATATAAATAAAGGCTAAAACCCTGGTTAGTTACAAAAACTCTGCTTCCTATAGAAATAATTGCTATTTTGTTTAGTATATGAAGTGTGAAGTTATATAAAAGTAGGTCTAAAATAGCTTTGGATACATAACCAATTAGGTGTGTATGAATATGTATTTTTTAACAATATTGCAAGGAGACTTTAATTTTTATTTTAATCGAATGCTAATTTGTTCTCTTCAAAAAAAGAACAGAAAATAAGGTACAAACATAAGCAACCCTATATTGTTATTCCTAAAGTATAGTTAGCCTCATGAGGTTATAATATTTATTGTTAAAGTTGTATATTGGTCAGTAATTAGATTTCAAAGTAAAACTAGGGTTGCTAGGATGTAGCCAGGTCTCTCTCTCTCTCTCTTGTGTACACATTACTGCAGGTGCCTTGGTCTCTTGTTCCACTGTCAGAGAGCAGAGATGATCTGTCAGCACAACAGCCACACCCGATATTCACGATGGTCCTGGCAATATGAATCAATATCTCCTTCAGGGCACTTTGATTTAATCAGAGACATGAATAAATTAAACTCCCTGAAGACCTAGTAAAATGCCATAAAAATTACTTTTGGTCATAATGACGTGCAATTAATTGTAAAATACTTGTTTAATTTATTTAGCTTTATGAGGTCAAATCAATAAATGTCTTGCAACAGACAGATAATGTCAGATTGTTGTTCAGAAAGATAACTTCATTAAAAATCCTATGCACATTTGTTGTTGAAATTGTATTTTCTTGCCATAGATAAATCTTTTGCCTCTTCACCACCAGTATATTAGGTACGTTCAGTTGTAGCCTGAGAAAGCCTTTCACTTTATCAGCAAAGTTCCTGGGTGTGTTCAGAAACATGCATATTGATTTGGGTTCCTTAGAGCCTGACTCCTACCTGCAGTATAGCAAGGACCCCTTTGTTTGGAATCACACTGTTTACAAGTATAGGTGACATGTCCAGCAGTGGGATTGATGCCACTGGAGCAATTTAGATTTTGAAATGAATCACTGGCTACCTTCAAACAGGTGTGCCTAGACCACAGCCAGCATTGGACCCCAAATCCTCTTTCTTTACCTTAGCCCCAGCTAAAACTTTTCTACTTTTAGTAGGGGAAAACAGTATTCTATCATAATTATTATGCACTATAAATGGGATTAGCACCTTTTCACACACCTATTGAATGTATTTCCATTTCCCATTTATTATATAAATAGGATGATGACTCATCCAAGGCCCTGTCTTTCCTTGTCCAGTTAGGACCTGAGCCCCAAGCTTGGTGCATAGGATGTTGACCCGTGTGATAAGCCCTGTGTATGCTTGTGGGGCTCTATCTCTGCCAGACATTGGCATGCGACTTACACCAGAGGATAATGTCCTTCCAGAATAGCCCTGTTGAAGCAATTTCTATGATGAAACTGAAACAGACAGCTTGATGCTTTGCCCAAGAACACAGGCAGCTGGGGCCACCCGTCTTAGATCTGTGTCACGTCTCTTCCTCACCCCCCACCATGGGGCAGTTATGCTGGATACCTCTTGTGGGGTGAGGTACAGTGACAGAGAGAACTTGAAGACACTTTCTGCTTATTTCCTCTACTTTCCCTGGGCTTTGCCTGTACTTTGCACTCAGCTGTGCTGTGGTCTGTGGCCCCTGAAGTTCCTGTGCTTCCATGTAGTGGACATAGTGGACATGCCCAGGAGGGTCCTGAGGGGTCCCCAAGGACCAGTGCTGTCTGTCAGGGCCTCCGGGAGCCACAGATGAGAGCCACTTTTCTTGCAGTGTGGAAACATGGCACGTGAGGGACTTCGGACCCTTGTGGTGGCCAAGAGGACTCTGACAGAGGAGCAGTACCAGGACTTTGAAGTGAGTTACTCAGTCCTTGCCACTCAAGCCTCTTCCTTCTTCTGAGAACTTTGTTTTCTCGCTGAAGTGCAGCCTTCGGTGCAGTTACAAGGTCTGTGTTTCTGAAGTGTGGGGGCACAGGCTGCCTTAGTGATTGGGGGCCCTGCAGCGTTCACAAAGGCCAGCAGCTCCATGTCCTCAGCAGAGGCGGGGTGTGCCTCGCAGGTACTTCAGACCTTGGAGCTGTCTGGATTCTGGAATATTTGCACAGATGACAGGTTACATTATCCAAAACCCCCTAAATCCAAAATGCTCCAGAAGCTGAAGCTTTCTTTAGCATGATGTCATTGCTCATGATGTATCTGACTTTTGATAATTCAGTTTCCATATTAGGGAAAGTTCAACTAGAGTTAATAGATTTTCACGTAGCAAATAATTACAAATAATTAGAGCACTTACACAGAGCATTTATACAGCATATTACCTCTGACCCCAAGAGCCGATTCGCTCCACACTGAGAGAGCATTTACACACATGTTCTCCTGTCCCCTGTGCCCTCAGAGCTGATACAGTGCAACTGTGTAAGTCATACACAGGAAGCATGCATGTACTTGTATGCCTGTTCCTTCTGTCTTCAGAGCCGATACAGTCAAGCCAAATTGAGCATCCATGACCGGACCCTGAAAGTAGCTGCAGTTGTGGAAAGCCTAGAGAGGGAGATGGAGCTATTGTGCCTCACTGGGGTGGAGGACCAACTGCAAGCTGATGTGAGGCCCACACTTGAGATGCTGCGGAATGCAGGAATCAAGGTACAGTCTGCAACCTCTGACTGCCAAAACTGCTTTCTGAGTCAAACTAATGTTTTCTTTGAAATACTGTGCTCCATGGGAGGAGGAGGGTACAAAAGATAGCTTCTTCCTCATTATCTTAGTCATCTAGCTCCAGAAGTCTCCACAATGCCCTACTCCAGACTTCTCTCCGACTCTGTCTCTTTCCTCACTCAAGACAGCATAGCCCTTCCTTAGCAGGGCTCTGACCCTGCCCCTCCCCATGACATATGGACTTACTGGGGATAGTCTTAGGACCCACCAGCTTCTGACCAGTATGTACAGCCTGGGGTTCACACTCGCCTTGCTGCACATCAGAATTGAACAGAAACTCCCCATACCCAGATCACCCAATAAGCATCTGTGGTCCTGGGTGCATTCGGGTATCCAGACCACATTGTAAGTGGCACTAGTTAGGGAGGAGGTCAGTGTAGGAGAAGCCCAGCTTTGTGTAGACTTCGAGTTGTTGCTGAATCCTTACATGTTGACTCATCACATGCTGCTCTAGGGCTGGGGTGGACAAGAAACCAGTTGTTAGGTAAGGTCATTCAGAAGCTGTTCTCTGTTCAGCTGGTTATGCTTCTGAAGCAGTGTGTCTATTGCTGCAGAGTTAGGAGAGGCCTGCAGCAGTCAGCTGCTCCTGCAGTTCTGCCCAGCCACAAGTGCAGTGCTGGCATCCTTCCTGCAGGGACTGCAGATTCAGGTACAGAAGTGCTGTCCTCCCTGTACTGCTTGACACTACAGGAGTTCTTCCCTGGCCCCTTGTGGCCACTACATTACTCTCAGGAAGCTGCCTTCTCTCCCAGGACCTCCCTTTGCCCACACAGTGTCCAGCTTCCCAGCTGCTCCGTTGTGTAAATTGGCAGTAGGAACACAGTGTTTGCAGGAATCCAGCTGACATCCCTGTCACGAGTTGTGAGGGTCAGTCCCTTTCCCAGTAGACCTGCCTTCCAGGGTGGCATTTCTCTGGAGACCTTCTCCCCCACCTGCTGTGCTGAAGTCCCCTTCCTCACTCATCTCCTCATGTCTAAATCCAGCCTTCACAGTAGTGTTAGTGTGGGGGAGCTGCTTTCGTAAGGTTAGGGTTAGGGGTTAGAAATGGCTGAGTGTTTTAAGGAACCTATGATCTAGTTTATGACTGTGCATGCTGGATTATCAATACTAAGGTAGTAAAGCTCCTTGGTACAGAACTTCAGGTATTTGTAGTAATTCTGTGCTGTGGTGTGTACGACCCATGTCTGTAAGCCTTGCCCTCTCAGCTCCTCTCCATGTACCACCTAACTGGCCTGCTCTGAAGAAGGGAGTGTGGTGTCCTCATCCGCATCTCACTATGCTTCCTGAGTGACAGGTTGCTCAGCAGTGGCCGTGCACACTGTGGTCACTCGGTTTGTCATGGGGATAGTTCCTAATGAAAGGGTGCTGATGAAAGAGAACAGCCAGGACTGGTTACACCCCTGGAGTCATCCTTATGCCATGCAGCTTTTTCTCTCCCCTGCTCCCACAAATGTATCTTTCCACATGATAAAAATTCTTTGAGACTCTGACGATGACAGCATTAGTAATGCAAGGACTGTTTGCTGTGCTGCAGAAATACCTGTTTCTTTACTCCTTTACAGTCGGGGCTTCTAAAGCTTTTCCACTCATGAGCCCTCTGCCTGAGAGACTTTGTTACATGACCCTAAGTATATACAGAGTAATCTTACAAACCAAACGTTTACTGATTATAAACCATAAAGAAACTTATTTTAAAACAGTTCTTTATATGATTTTACCATTCACTAAAGACAAAAGCCAATTTACATACTAATGAGATCAATGTCTTTTATTTTAGTATAAAAATTAGGTCTTAGCTGAATATTTGATACAGCAGTTTGTGTGGAGCATCATCTTCAACAGTTTTCAGAGTTGACCACTATTTTACTTTAAGGTGTGAATGCCATCTTGCATAAATACATAGTGAGGGGGAGGAGCAGAGGTTTGTTTAGGACCACTTCAGAAATTAGGAATTCTGTCCCAATTCCAAGCCAAAATGGGTTGAACTTTTTTTTTTTTTAATGAAACCCACATCAGCAACTCAAACAGAGATTTTTAAGGTTAAACATTGTAACACAATACAATCCAGACATTTACATACTGAGGAGTGACAGTATTGTTTTCACAATTAAACCATTATGTTTTGGGAACACAAAGAAAGTTTGTAAGTAGACCGCTGCAGTTCATAACATTCTGTAGTCTAGAGACTGAGCCCCAGTACTTCACCTGCTCCTAGGTGTTGCGTAGCGGAGGGTGTGCATATGTTGTGCTCAGAACCCAGGCTGCAGTGCAGTCTTGTGGGGCATCCGGGCAAGTGCTGCCCAGAGCACTGTGGGTTCCTCAGACATTTGCTTTAAATTATGTTTTGGTCATTGCATATTCAGAAACCTTTTTATTGCCATTTTTTAACAGCAATCCTCCCAAGTAGTTAGTTACGTGACCACATACGAAATCCTGACCCTCAGTTTAAGCAGCAGGAGTTCGGGTACATGTTTTCACAGTGTGTTTCCATGTGTGTGCAGTTTGTTCATGCTGAAGTAACTGTTTGACACTTCATTTGATACAAGTCCATGTAGGCTTGTCTGTGGTCCCTTGGCCTGTTTGAACGTCGCCTCCCAGCTGAAGAACTATAGTGATGTGAAGGTCTGTGTGGTCCTCTGGCTCTATGCACTGCCTCTCCACATCTTAAGGCTTCTGCACAGTCTCAGCTGTGTGTCTGTGCACCACTCTGACTTGTTCTTCCTAAACAAATCAGCACTTTTTTATTGTGGTGCAAAACACACAACCATAGTTGCCTTTTAGCACTTGTAGATGTGGCAGGCTTTCTCAGACCACCAGCCCCCAAATCATGCCACAGAGACTCATTATTAGTTATGAGTGCTCAGCCTTAGCTTACACTTGTCCCACTAGCTCTTAGAACTTAATTTAACCTGTTTCTCTTCATCTACATTTTGCTTTGGAGCTTTTTACCTTCCTTTCTGTATGTTCTTGCTTTTCCTGCTTCTTCTGTGTCTGGCTGGCAGCTGCCTGCCTGGCTGGCCCTGGACATCTCCCTCTCTTTCTCCCTCATTCTCTTCTCTCTGGAGCCTAGATTCCTCCTCCTACTCATTCTCTCTACCCACCAGCCCCACCTATCCCTCCTCTGCATAGCTATTGGCTGTTCAGTTTTTTATTAGACCAATCAGATGGTGCCATAGGCAGGCAAAGCAACACATCTTTACATCGTCAAACAGATGCAGCATAAACAAATGCAGCACATCTTTAAATTGTTCAGGTAATAGTCTACAACAGTAGGTACACAGTTGAGTTCATGAAATAAACTCACAATTTTCCACAGCCATTGCTGTTCCCATCTATAAAACTCTCCATCTCCCCAGCCTGAAACTTCCCCACTGAAGTTCTCACTCCTCATCCTATGAATATGACTTCTCTGGACTCCTCATATATGTGGGATTATGCAGTATTTGTCCTTTGTATCTAGCTGATGTCATTCAGCAAAATGACCTCCAGGACCCTGTGTCAGAACTTTCTCTGTTTAAGGATCAGGGAAGTGACCACGTTTCATTTCTCCATTTGTCTCAGTATACTCTTGGCTTGCTTTACCTCAGCCTTATTGTGAAAATCCTGTGAGTGTGGTGTACAGACATCTGTGCACAGAAATACTTTAAGGAAATGAAATCATATTATTGAAGTTCACAAGCTTAAATTATTTCATAGATTTGGATGCTAACAGGCGATAAACTGGAGACAGCTACCTGCATTGCCAAAAGCTCACACTTGGTGTCCAGAACTCAAGACATTCATATTTTCAGGCCAGTAAGTACACTTCTAAATCACTTTGAATTGTTAAATGGCTTTTGTTCATTTGTTTGTTTTTTTGTTGTTGTTGTTGTTTTGAGGGGCTTGGGGTTTGGTTTGCTTTGGGGTTTTTCCAAGTTTCTCTATATAGCTCTGGCTGTCTTGGAATTCACTCTGTAGACCAGGCTGGCCTTGAACTCACAGAAATCTACCTGCCTCTTCTTTCCACGTGCTACGATTAAATGTGTATGCCACCATACCCAGCTAAACTGTTGAGTGTTTATCTTACAGTTAAAATGTAATTGCTAAATATCTTTTAAAAATCAATGTTGGAGATGTCTTTTTACTCCATAAACACATGCTGAATGGCTTTGAAATGCATTTTGATGGTAAACAAGCTGTAAGTTGTAAAGCATTTCATATTGCTGTTGCTACAGTCTTGCTACTCAAAACTTAGGAAAACTGTATGTTGCTTTTTGAACATCCATCCCTATTAAGCTGTACAGCGGTTCCTCCTGGGAGACAAGTGCGGACAGAAAGCAGAAGACCAGTCTGCCACCATTTCAGAGTAAAAGCTCTTCTGTAAATAGTGCAAAGAAGATGATAGAAGGATCCGAATTTATGACTTTACTGTACATACTAGTTATGATGAGTTTAATTCAAACAAGAAATAGATGTTCCTTGAGTCATGATTGATGGTGGGCAAGCAGACACCATGTGTCTGTGGCTGTCTGAATAAAGTGCTTGCACCTACAGAAATGGTTATTTCAGTATCATTTACATGTAAATGTATTTTATTTTGAAACATCAGAATCTCAAATTATGCCCTGCAGACTACTATTTGCAATTAAATTATTAATGTTTCTGATAAAACTTCCGATCAATTTTTGTTGACTTTTCAGAGTTATGGCACCACAAATTAAAAATTTCACAATAAAACCTACCTACTTAAAGCTGACTTGGAGATTAATTTGGAGCATGTGAAACTTCATTTATTTCATTCCTATATCATGTCTTTGATGCCCCTTAAAATCTTCGCAGAAAGCACATGCAAAGCCAGTGCATTGATTTCTGGCATATTTTCATTCTAAAATTAGTACTTCAAGATTTTGGCCAGATTTTACCCTTTTAGACTGCTTATTTCTTTAAACACTAAGCAAAAATGGATGAGATAAGTTGAATCTCATGGCAGAAAGGACAGAAGTGACTTCGTGAAATTACTTTGCATTATTCCACATATTATAAAGAAACGTGTTTAAAGAAACCCCAGTCTATATAATTAAGTTTCTTACCTGGTGTGTGAGAAAGGGAATTCTGACTTAAAATTCTCTAGGGCTATGTTTGTGATGCTATAAGCCAATGATCTTCAACACTACTCACAATATTCACCTACCCCACCACCGGTTTAATATATCATCTTATAGAAAGTGCTAAAAATCCTTGGTCATTACATTCTTATAAGAATGTTTTTACATCAGTAATAGCCCTTGTATGCCATCATGACCACAAATCAGAAAACAGTCCCTGTTAGAGGTGTAGGTGCACAATTTGTAAGGACCTTGTTACAGGACTTCTGTTCATAGGTTAAGCACCTTTAGGTTCTAAATACAATATCTAAAGGATCCTACTGTGAGTCCCTGAAAATGTCTTACTGGTTTATTGCCTGCATTTTTAATTCATGGTGCTTTTTTTTTTCCTCCAATGAAGGTAACCAGTCGGGGAGAGGCCCATTTGGAGCTGAATGCATTTAGAAGGAAGCACGATTGTGCTCTAGTCATATCTGGGGACTCTCTGGAGGTGAGATGAGTGTGGGTATATGTATCTGTCTCCTGTGCTAACCATGTACTGCCTGTGTATCTATCTCTCTGTCTCCAGAGGTCAGACTAGTCTGTAACAGTGTATGTCTTGCTTCTGAGATAGGACTATCAGTAATGTACCATGTTCTATCTGTCCATCTGTCTTTTAAGACTGATCCCTGAGTAAGTGTGTCTGTCTGTCCTCCCAGGCCATTGAGCCAGAATTTCCTGAATAACACATATTCCTCAGCAGCCCAGACCCCCTCTCCTGTCATGGCAGTTGTGGGGTTTTTGTTTTGTTTCATTTTGTTTTTCCTGTGTAGCATCAAGACTTCTGAATGGTCAGTCCTAAGGGCATGCTGGCCATGTCTGCCTGATCCTCTGTCCTTTCCTGTTTAGACACTGCTTGAGTTCAGCAGATCAAGGCCCTGGCCTGATTTTTGGTCCCCTGCTCATTGTTAATAGCATCAGCCTCCAGTAGTCATGACAGTTCAGACTACAGTATTTATTATGTGTTTGTCCAAACCAGTGTTTCCAGGGGTGTGTTTATGGGACACATGGCTACCTGTGTAGAGGTGGTGGGCCTCCAGTTAACCTCTGGCGTTCATCCTTCAGGACACTTCAGAGTGTAGGGGCCTAAAGCGAACTGCAGGAAAAACCCAGGTGGGAGAGGCTACTGGGCCAGTTGTTATTTGTACTTAACTATTATATGTGTGATTTTTACCTTCCTGGACACATGGTTGAGGTAGCCACTTCCTCCTGTTCTCCCTACTTCTGGTGCTCCTGCCCTAACACACTTAGGATTATGGGCCTCACATTGTGACATCACACAATATTGGTGTGTTTCCAAATCCCAATATCTGTAGAGCCACACTGCAGTTCTGTTAAGATTTGGTAAGGTTTGATCCTTGCTGCAATAAGGATTTCAGTCAGTGCTTGCTGACAACTCCCAGCATAGCTGAATTGTGACTTGGGTTGTATCAATGTCTAGTGATCATGAGATGATATTCAGTTTGTTTGTTTGTTTGTTTGTTTGTTTTATTTTAATATGTTCCAAATAGTCTTTTCTATTTGTAAAAGTAGAAAAAAAATTATTTTTTTACTTTCTGATATGTTCCAAAACATCTTGTAAGCAGCTAACCAAAAGCACACCCCTTCTGTGAGATTAAGGTAATATAATCAAGAAATCCAAACCAAAAGAAAAATAAGACACAGAAGCTGAGACAGTTATAGTGTGTGAAAATGAGTGCTGGGAGGCTCCCAAGGCAATCCTCAACTTGACTTTAGACATCTTCTTCCCCTGAACAGAATGCAGACAGAATGCAGTGGCACAGGCCCTTCTCAGGCAGACAGGTAGAGGTGGGTTGACAAGAATCCTGGCTAAATTGGAAAAGAAAGTTTTTCACAGCTCCTGGTAGAGCATACACCTGCCACCCTCCCTAAAGCTGGCAATTAGGTCTCTGGTCTTTCAGGACATAAGCACCCTCCTTTTGTTGGTAGCCTTCTGGGCCATATAACTGAAGACCTGCTCTTCCAGTGCCTGTCCTTCATGATGGGAAAAATCTTAGAGTTCCTGGAGAGTGAAAAAGATTCCACCCCTTAGACAGTACTGTGAGATTTGGGGTTTCTCAAGCAAGGTAGGGAATTAAGAACTGGAACTGTCACTTTGGGAAGGCCTTGAGTATCTGATATCATGGATCAAAAACCAAGATCTCCATCAGCCACATGCCTGCGAAGCACTGAAACCAAAATAGGAATATAGGTTAGAGGGAAGGTGTTTGTATACTGGCTCCAGAGACTACATATCTTTTGGACATATTAGCCTGGCAACTCTTCAGAAGTCCTGTGGCCCCTGACCCTTGCCTCTGCCTGTGCCATTCTCCACCCACAATGCACTACCTTTAGGAGACCTTGTACTCTTCCTGCTAGGGACCTGGCCACCCCGTCCATCTTCTCATCTTGCTCTCCTGCACAACTGAGCAGGTTATGATATAGTTTCGAGGGCATAGTCCCAGATGAGACCCAGAAATCCAAGTCTGCTTACTTGCAGAAGTCTTAGGCTTTCCCACAATTCTGCTTACCTGCTGCTTGAGCCCAGGGTTGTGTGGTGACAGTAGAGTCACAACATTGTCTCCCAGGTCTGCCTGAGGTACTACGAGCATGAACTTGTGGAGCTGGCCTGCCAATGCCCTGCTGTGGTCTGCTGCCGCTGCTCGCCCACCCAGAAGGCCCACATCGTGACCCTGTTGCGCCAGCATACCAGAAAGCGCACCTGTGCCATTGGTGAGCCCAGCACTTCAACCATGCCGTGGGTGGGCCGTGGGGCAGTGTGCCGCCTCCCTGTCAACAGTGAAATGTGACAAGCGGCCAGCTTTTCAACGTTTACAGGCAAAAGTGTGTTGTCTCTAAAACTGACTTCATCTACATTACAGGAATTTACAGTAGTATAAAAAAAAAATGAAGCATATAATGGAAAGATGTTTCATTTAATCTCCAACTCTTGGTGCTTCTCAGGTGATGGAGGAAATGATGTGAGCATGATCCAGGCAGCGGACTGTGGGATCGGGATTGAAGGGAAGGTAGGTTTGTGCTTTGTCACACATAGACAGCACTTGTGCTCCTGTTCAATGCCAAGCCCCATCCTAGGAGACGTCAACAGTCAGTCTGTCCTTTTGGTCCTCAGGCCCAGCCATAGGTTGTTGGTAAACAGCAGGAAATTAGCATCCTTCAGTATCCTTCTTATGCTGGAAGTGTCCTTAGGAACTCTTTCAGGTCCTCTGTACTTGTGACCCAGGTCCAGGGTCACTAATTCCCCTGAATACCTTTCTTGGGCCTTCGCTAACCCTCAGCTCCTCTCCCCTGCTTCATGTGCTTCCTTCTCTGTGTAGGTGACCCTTTTTCCTGCCAACTAAGCTGGGGTTGAGGCTTGTGTTTGTGCCAACCTTGATTGCTCCTTGTATAGTCACCCAAATATAAATACACACAGCAAGACTAGAAAATTGCACAACTTGATTTGGGTTTTTTCTTTGGCTGCTCTGTTCTACTCTCCCTCATGGTAGCTTTGAAAAATCAGAGGTAGATTGTTTTTGCAGATGTGAGGTAACAAAGGTTTGGGGAATTGTCTCGGAGAGGCCTGGGACCATGTGATGAGGTAGGGTGTCCCCATAGCCAGTGCTATCTCTCCCTTGTTATTTTCTGTGTTGCTAATAGACCAAAGCCCCTTCCTTCTTAGGAGCAGCAGCTGACATCTGCATATGCACAGGTTCTGGTACAGGCCCCTCTACCTCCCACACTCTCAGGTGCAGACGGATGGAGGCATGCTGGGTGAAGCTGTGGGTGTCAAGCAGACACTGCCCCTAGTACTCTTGAGTTCAGATGTACGCTAAAGCTCAGCTTTGTGTGCAGTCCTCAGTAGGTGGTGTTTCTCAGAGGTTCTTTGTGGTTCTTCAGGAGGGGAAGCAGGCTTCACTGGCAGCGGACTTCTCCATCACACAGTTCAGACACATCGGCAGGCTCCTCATGGTGCATGGGCGGAACAGCTACAAGCGGTCTGCAGCACTCGGCCAGTTTGTCATGCACAGGGGCCTCATCATCTCCACTATGCAGGTAGCAAACCAACACCAGCTTACCACACAGGCAATGGCTGCTCCACTGTCATGGGAAGTGACCACTGGACATATTGGGTATCATTCTATTGTAATGGAGATGGTGTGAATGTGAAGAGCAGCTGTGTCTTTAACTTATGGTGTTCTGTCTTTTAAGGCTGTGTTTTCTTCAGTCTTCTACTTCGCATCTGTCCCGCTCTACCAGGGATTCCTTATGGTTGGGTAAGTGAAGCAGATGTTCTTGGTGCCTCTCAGCTTCATGTATGTGAGAACTTTTATTTGGAAAAAGACGTGTAGAATATTGAGTGATACTCAGGGTGTTCTGAGTAATTCTTGGCACATAAATATTTAAGATGACTAACTGCTGTAAAGTCTTACACTGAGTTTGAAGACATTTGAAAAACACCTGGACACTTGAGCTTTTTAAGACTCTGCTGAGTTTCTCACTAGATTGTGTTTTCTTGGGGAAGCCATAATTTGTGTCAGGAACCACAGCAGAGCTGAGGCTTTATAAAAGGGCCCCGTAGCATAATGAGAGGGGCAGAACCAAGGGGCGGGCACATGCCAACACTGCCGTCAGCAGGGGTTGAAGCGGGCAGGCCACAGCTGCAGGCCTCCTGAGCCTGCCCCTGTCCCAGTAGGGATACAACGTCACCATGAAGGGAACAGGACCAGCCACTAACCGGGAAACGGGATAGAAAGCAGTGGGACATCTTCTGAGCTTTGGGAAAGACATGGCTAGTCTGTCCCTAGTAGCAAAAAACCCTGCATTTAAAGACAGCCACTGAGAGATGGTAGGCAAGTGCCTCAAAGGTGTAATGTGCCACAATGATGTTGCCTACCAAGTCTGAAAAGAAAGACTCCAAGTAAACAAAGATGAGGATGGTCATCTGTCATCCTCATCCTCAGTTGTTATACGTAGAGGTCATATAAATGTGACTGTTAGTGAGTGACCACAGAATAAAAGCTGTCCCCTGCCACTTTCTGTCTGTGCCCATCAAGGCTCGTCATTCACCTCAAACCAGGGCTCCATCTTATAACCAGAAAGAACCTGGAAAGTGACAGTTGTAGCCCTGACCTTGGTGTTACCCTCACTGTTGAAGCATGGAGGTGGCTGTCCTCCTGACATCCATATTTGGCATGTGAGGACAGAGAGAGGCACCTGGGAAATTCAGGACCACGCTGGCTCAGACTGAAAAGGATTGGCTGGGTGCTCTCCTCTGTGGTCACACCAGCACCTTTCTCTGCTGTGGGATAATCCTCTTTACACTGTAAAGATTTGTCACTCAAATTGTTTTAATAAAATGCTGATTGGCCAGTAGCCAGGCCGGAGGTATCGGTGGGGCAACCAAACTAAGAATGCTGGGAAGAAAAAGGGCTGAGTCAGGAGTCACCAGCCAGACCCAGAGGAAGCAAGATGAGAATATTATACTGAAAAAAGGTACCAACCCACGTGGCTAAACATAGACAAGAATAATGGGTTAATTTAACTGTAAGAGCTAGTCAGTAATAAGCTTGAGCTACCAAGCAAGCATTTATAATTAATATTAAGCCTCCAAGTCAGTTATTTAGGAAGCGGCTGATGGGTATTTGGGAGTTGCTGGTGGAACAGAAACTTCTGCCTATATTTCTCCACAGTACTCAGCTGCCCTCCTGGCTGGTAGAGGGCAGACAAAGCAAGTTCTTTCACCTGCAAGCTGATATTAGTACATCCTAAGTGCATGGGACAGCTCCCAGAATTGCTAATAACTTAGCCAGAAACAGGGAGGTTAAGGTCTTTGTTAAATGTCAGGTCCCGTGAGTCATCTGTCCTCTGTCAGTATCAGCTCTCTGCTGTGAATGCTGTGTCCTCTCTGGACTTCCTGCCTTCTTACACCTCACTGCATCATCAAAGCAGAAGGCGTATCTGTGGCTTTGCCTCCACAGCATCATGTCTTCCCACAGCACAACCACCCTCTTTCAAGACTGTATATCCTGTTGGGCCCACCCAGAGAATCTATGATAATGTCTCGCGGATAAGTCCTTAGCTTAATTATGTGAACTGCCTATACACTAGTTCTGACAAGGAGAATGTGGGTCTCTGGGAGGCCGGTATGTTTCTGACCACATTGTGGTATAATGAAGAAAAGGAAGGCCTCACATCTCAGAAACAGATGTGTTTGCTTCCTACCATCCTTGGCTATGGCCCTGGGAAATGTACATAATCTCCTGAGCCTGTTTGATCCAACAGGAAATTATAATGAGGAGCTCCAGGTAGTATTGTGGGCTACTTGTAAGTGCTTCGCACAGAGTGCAACAAATGATAGGTATATAAAAGAAACTAAAGTAAATATGCCTCTGCTGTGTGACTTGAACCTGTCATGGTGACATTCCAGCCCAAAGAAGTGATAGATAATCTGCAAAAAAATTAGGACAAGCTGGGCATAGTGATGCATGTCTATACTAATCCCAGCACTTGTGGGGCTCAGGCAAGACAAGTTGAGGCCAGTTTGGGTATGTAGTGAGTTCCATTCCAGCCTTGGCTACAGAATAAGACCCTATGTCAAGAAGAGGGCACTGGATGTTTTTACCAGTTTTATTTGTGATAAACCCAAATTGGGAATAACCAAGATGTATTCACACAAATGAGCAAATGGTTCAATGAGTATGGCTTATCCACCATAAGGCACCACTCAGTTGTAAGGAAGGCACTGTGCAGAGCCACAGCCTGGATCTCAGGGCATGGCACAGAGTCTGGAAAGCCATCCCCAAACTTGCCTTCTGCCTGTGTCTCCACAGTAGCCCTAACATAACAGAAAGAATGGGTTAGATACAGGCCTGAGGGCTCCTTGTAGTCAGGGAGACATGGGCATGCTGGTGGGCTGGGTGTTGAGTGTCGGGCAGGACTGCATCGGGCACTAGCGTGGAAAAGGTTAAGATAGCGCTGTATTAGATGGCTGCATGTGAGTCTGCAAGGGTCAAAGTTCACTAAGGAAACTGGACCTGTGGTATAGTACTGTGTAATCCTAGCACGCAGGAGGCTGAGGCAGGAGGATCACAAGTTCAAGGCCTGCCTGGGCTTCCTAGGAAGTTTGAGTTTATCCTTGGCTGTGAGAACCCTGTCTCAAAAAATAAAAAGTTTAAAAAGAAAACTCTGGTTTTAAATGGGTGCCCCTCTCTCTAAGAGGCTATGATTTATATGACAGACCTGTGCTGGGCTCGGTAGCCAGGCTCAGGGGGATCTAAATAGGTGCCGCCATGGGGGTTACGTGTGTTTTATCAGATTGTGTTTTCTGGGTTTGGAAACTTGAACCTACCTCTGAGTCTAGAAACATGGTCTCAATTGTGTCACAGACAACATTTATCGGGCTGACTGGACGTGGCCCTCTTGCTTTCCTAGGTATGCCACTATCTACACCATGTTCCCAGTCTTCTCCTTAGTGTTGGACCAAGATGTGAAGCCGGAAATGGCAATTCTCTACCCAGAGTTGTACAAGGACCTCACCAAGGTAAGACCCCAGTGCCAGCCTCGTGCAGTGAGAGCACACCAGCACTGGCCTTTGTGCGTTCCAGCAAAACAGACCGCCTCTTCCATGGATAGCGTACAGTTATGTAGCAAGCATAATAAAACATGTTTTAAAGTACTATTTTTTAAAAAAATTCTCAACTCTTTGTAATAGGCATATGATGATACACATAAGGTAAGAATTTAATGAGTGTTTCGAACCATCTGTGGAACTTTCATGAATTTAGCAAAGACATCCAAATCTGTGTCTTCAGTCTTACAAAGGACCCTCTCTACCTGTGGCTCAGCCTGCCTAGCAATGTCACCATGTGAGAAGACCAGCCTCCTTTTACTCAGTGCAGAATGCAGCACTCTCCAGCTACAGATCTCTAAAGTCTGTGACTAAGGGTATCTGTGCATTCCTGGGTCTAGTTGTGAGTTTCAGAATTACACATTGGAAGTGGTTCATAGCATGTCTCTGTCCCAGAGACATGCTCTGTCCTGTGGAGATAGTGCAAAGCATAGTCTGCCTGCAAAGACTGAAACTGCCACTGTGAAGAGGCCCCACTCAGCCTGGAACTGCGCTCTTAAGAATAAGCCATTCCTGCCGGGCGGTGGTGGCGCACGCCTTTAATCCCAGCACTCAGGAGGCAGAGCCAGGCGGATCTCTGTGAGTTCGAGGCCAGCCTGGTCTCCAAAGCGAGTTCCAGGAAAGGCGCAAAGCTACACAGAGAAACCCTGTCTCGAAAAAGAAAAAAAAAAAAAAGAATAAGCCATTCCTAAGGAGGTTTGAAGTTGGCCATGTGTTACATCAAAGCATATTTTTAAAGCTAAATACCAAGAGGACAAGAGAAGAGGAGTAGCTGAGCCCTGCACATACAACTTGTTGTAACTTTGGAACTTCCTACTTGGCTAGCTTTTCCTAAGCCAGCACAGAAAACAAAACCCACTAGCCTTCAATTTAATTTAGTTTTCAGTTGATAACCTGAAATTATCAACTCCAATTTAAAGCAGTATCAATATGATCTAGTGAAGAAATAATTAAATTGGGTGTTCAAGGAATTAGTTGCTAGCCCAGCTGACCATCACCTGATTAGAATGTAGCCTAGCTGACTGCTAACTAATGGACTAGACTGTAATCCAGCTGACTGCTTACTAACAGACAAGACTAGTTCAGCTGACTATCGACTCAACAGGTAAGTGTTAGGTAAAGTCACATTACTTTAGGGGTTTCATGGTATTAGTATAAGGACCAAAATTATAACACTTAAGCCTCTTAAAAGAGCTATAAAGTATCCATATAATTTTTCAGGTTAAATAAATCTTCATTATTAGAGTATAAAATAGTAAGGTGTAAATGTCAGAAGAGATTATCCCAAATTTATACATAGTACAACCAGAAGGAGCACTTTGAGTCTGAAATCCTAAAATGAGATATGATAGGATCAGATAGGGTCATAGAAACAGAAACTATAGGAAGTTATTGCAAATGACTAGTTTAGTAGCTCGTTCATTCCTTATCTCCAGATATTCTGCAAATGTTTGCTTAACAAAAGGGAGAAACCAGCTTTTGATACAAGTTTAGACCCCCCACCCCATCTCCCCACCCTTCTGAGCTCTAGGCAGTCTGCATCCCGTTAGAGTTAGGACACTGGAAGGCGTGTTGCTCAGGTTACAGCACTCACTCACGGGTTTAGAGGGATTCCCAGTAGCAGCAGTGAGATGATAGGCAAGCACAGTCTTCCACAGGCATTAGAGGAAACATGGCTTTCACCACTTGTAACAATTTAGACCTTGTAAGGATCCTCCAGAAAGCTGTCATTCTTATCTTTATAGTATCTATTATGTTACATCTCTGGTATACTTCAAACCCTTCAAAATCAAAGCCAGAGCAAGTGGATTAAGTTGAACTGTCTTGTCATAATCAGAAGGACCATTTTGAAGCTTTTCATTTCTTCTGAACACTTTGGCAAGACATCCACATGGCTGCTCTTTCTGTCCTTTAATAATCACAGAACCAGAGATGGGCCACCATGTGCCCATGTAAGAGGCACCTGCCAGATCTGAAGGGCATGAGGTGTAGTCCTTGATCCCGATGAGCCTGCATTTTAGCAGCAGAAAAAGCCATGTTTTGTGGTAAATGCTAGGGTGGTAGCAGAGGACAGCAGCATGCAATAAGCCATAACTTGTAACAGTTGCCCACTGCTTATTTATCCAGCAGCCAAGGGGGTACTATGTTCTTCGCAACAAATACCCTGTGACTTAGTCAGTTTTCCATTGCTATGAAGAGACACCATGACCAAGGCAACCTATAAAAGACAGCACTTAATTGGAGGTTTGCGTACAGTTCAGAGGAACAGTTCATGACCAGCATGGCAGGGAGCATGGCAGCAGTGAGCAGACATGGCGCTGCAGCAGTAGCTGAGAGCCTACACTTGACCCACAAGTAGGAAGCAGAGAGTGAGGGTCTGGACCTGGCATGTGCTTTTGAAATCTCAAAGGCTGCCCCAGGTGACTCTTCATCCCCTCCAACAAGGCCACACCTCCTCCTCCTTCACAAAACTGGTCTACCAGCTAGGGACCAAGCATTCAAATTTGAGTCTTTGGGGACTGTTCTCTTTCAAACCACCACATACTGTTTCCTGCATATACTTGATAACCAGTCGTTCTAGTCAAGAGTGTAAACAGCACCAGCATTACAGATCCACTTTACTGTTGTGGTCAGATTTGCCAGTGGTGGACCTAAACATCTGTTGGTCTGTTCTACAGCCCAAGCCATACCTGCCCCTTCTTAGATGTCACCAGGTGTGGTTTAGGCCTTGGAGACAGAGATGTCTGCTATCTGTCTGTTCACTAAGTAATTGATGAATGAATGAGGGAGTAAATCAGTCGATTACATGAAAAGGCAACATTTCCTTTTCCAAAAAATACCAGTTTGCTTTCTGTAGCTGGACTTTTTCTCTCCAGCTCCCGCTAAGCCCCCACAGTCCCACAGTCCACTTAAAAAATAATCACTCAGACACTTATATTGCTTACAAACGGTATGGCCGTGGCAGGCTTCTTGCTAACTATTCTTATATCTTAAATCAACCCATTTCTATTCATCTATAAATTGCCATGTGGCTCGTGGCTTACCGATATCTTAACATCTTATGGCGGTGGCTGGCAGCGTCTCTCTGCCTCAGCCTTCCTATTCCCAGAATTCTCCTCTCTCCTTGTCCCACCTATACTTCCTGCCTGGCTACTAGCCAATCAGTGTTTTATTTATTAACCAATCAGAGCAACACATTTAACATACAGAACATCCCACAGCAGCTTTCCATACAGAAAATAATGTATTTGTAACTGAAATACTTCTTGTTCTTTCTTTGGAACACAGTTATGCTCTGAACTATTAACGTTGCTTCTCTTGAGTTCACTCACTCTCCACAGGGAATTGACGTGCTGATACCTCCCCAGCCCTGCACGTTTCTCCATGTCCTGGGTGGACACATTCTTAGAGAGCTGGTGAGTCTGAGAACAGGGCTAGTGAGGTGGTTGAAGTCAGCTGAGACAGCGCACACCCTGAGGTAGCCCTGGCTGGTTGTGAATTTGCCTCACAGATCACAGGTTTACATCAGTGGCTAATGGCAGAACTAGTTTGTTTTTTAACAAGTTGTCAAGATAGCCATTAAGTAATTGCAAATGGCCCTGCATAGGAACCACGCAGCTGTCTAACATTTCTTCTTTCCCATAGAATATTCTCAAAATGATTCTCTTTTAAAATGTGGATATGTGCCCTTGTATAATTTTTTAAAGTAATGCTGAATAAAACCAAAAATTAAAGGCACAGAATTTCACAAAGAAAAAAATTTTAATTTCTTTTTTAAGTACCATAATTATATTGGAATCTCATAAAAGATAAAAGTATTTTATGTGATTTCTAATTCTAATATACTAGCAACAGTTAGACCCAAAAATAATACCATTTTTAGCAATATAAACAGGCAGAGCACTTTACTATAACTCTGATAAAATACACAAACACATGCCCAGGAACTATGGCACACCTTTGAAAGACTTTTAAAACATGAAGGGTGTTTTTGATTTGGGGACTGAACTTAATGGTGATTAGTGACAAACTGACTCTAAAATTTAGATAGAATGGCAGGGAAACTTGGCTTTGTGAAACAGCTTGGAAAAGAGCAAGGTTGATTGGCTCACTTTGATATTTCAAGACTTGCTATAAAATAACAGTCAAGGCAGTAGACAGGACAGACACAGGGAAGTGGAGAGGAAAGAATCCACACTTCACCTCTGACCGTTGAATTCAAGTGGAGGAATGGGTAGTATCAAAAGATGATGTCGGGACAGCTGGTCACACTTTCGACCTTTACTCCCCCACTCCACATGTGCACAGGCGCTCAAGTGACCATCAGTGTACATGTAAACTGAGGGCCTTCTGGAAGAAATACAGGACAGAGTAATTCATAACTTGACAAAGAGTTTTTAGACATAGATCAAAACCATTATCCAGAAAGGAAAAAATAAATTGGACTTCATCGGATTTTAAAGTTTTGTTTCATGAATTATGTAGTTTGGGAAATGAGAACATGAAGCCACACCATGGACTGGGAGAAAGTATGTTCAAGTTACACTCTGACAAAGGACTTTTATTCATAATATATAAAGAACTCTCAAGATTCAGCAAGAAAAAAAAACAGTTTAAAGAGTGAACAAAAGATCTAAACTAACATCACAGTTGATGTACAGTTATCAAAGAAGCCTGTGAAGAATGCTCAGCATTACTTTCCATCTGAGTTACAAACTTAGACCAATCAACTAGCAGTACACGCCAATTAAGAATGGCTAAAATAACTACCCAGGGCTGGTGAAGTCATGGATCTTGGAGGACAACCTGTCACGGCCACTTTACTCCATCATAATGCCTAACTTTATTCTAAGGCCTGTGCACCCACAAATAAGTGTGGCTATCACCCAAAATCAAAGAGTCTTCTTTTTGCAGCACACGGAGACCATTGCAGAAAGCTAAACAGGTCAGAATCAGAGATCAGCTGATCATGGAGACCCCAGCCCCAGCAGACACATCCACAACACTACTCCTGCACCTAAAGCTCAGGGACAGCTCAGAAGAGAAAGTAAAGACCAGGAAGTCCACTGTGAGATTGTCTTCTAGAAATGACAAGGAAGCTACCTCACGATACCTCAACAATATGACTGCTTAAATAAGACCTGAACAATAACAATACCAAACAAGGGAAAACCCATGCAGTCCCACCTCTAAACTAAGAACTACAGGGAGCTAACAGCTGCTGGGAGGGGAGGATTAGTCTCTCCCAAGGATGAGTTTTTAATTGGTCATCCAGTACAAAGTGATCAGCTCTGAAATTATACACACACAAGCAACACCAAATGGACTCGGCAGTCTGTACTTCTGTATTGATGCACACATATACAATGAATGTATTTTTATATATATTCAAAGAGGCCATCAATTGAAGAGGAAGTAAGGGGGTATGGTAGGGATTGGGAGGAGGAAAATAGACTTTAAAAAAAAAATGCCAAAGTTCCCAATACTCGTAAACCTACAAGCTGATGAGGATGTGCACCAACAGGAAGTTCATGGTGGCTTTGTCTTAGTTGCCAAGAGCTCCTTGGACCACGGAAGAGATAAGCGTTCTAGTGACCACAAAACAGCAGCAGTGACACTGATGTGTGGCGGGATGTTGTACAGAAGTGAGAAGGAAAAACAGATCATTCACACAATGAGAGTCACAGATGAATCTCAACTGTGTTTTGCTAAGCAAAACTCAACTCCGAGTTACTTTGATTCCATTCCCCTGAGATCTGGAGATGACAGAACCTGAGGGCAAGAACAGATCAGTGGTTGACAAAACTTGAACTGTGGGGTGGCATGATGGGGGCTGCTGTATCTGCTGCTGTGTTGTGGGTACCTCACCGTGCACGCCAGAACCTCCAGACTTGCAGAATGGACCTGCTGTGACTCTGGTAGGAAGCAAAGTTAGTTGAGATGGCCTGGGAGAATACTGTAATGAAAGAGGGAGTCCTGGCACTTCTGAGAAGCCAGAAACATCCTCTGCTGGCACCCAAAGGACAGGTCTGCTCAAGTGTAGTCCTGTGTGCACATCAGTATGCACACCTGTAACCTGCACGTAACCACAGCATGATTCCAGTCCACGTGTGTGTCATAAACATGTCACTGTGAGCCACACGTGCATTCCACACCCAGTGGCACGTTATGCTTTCATGTTAATGGTTTTGCTCATCTTGGGGTTGATTAACCCTTTTGCAGAATTCTTTTTTTATTACATTTTTGGTTCATCTACAATCAAAGTGTGTAATGTTTTATTGGAAATATATTAGTGGTAACTCCCATTAATGTGCTATCATTAATAGTTTCTATATGTTGTATAGTTTATTTGACTTGAGATACATGTATTTCATAGAAAAGGAAACTGAGGCATGCAAATTTAGTCAGAAGCTGAGGATAAAACAAGAGGTGTGTGCTGGGCAAGGCTGATTCTAGACGTCTGTCCAGAGCCTGTGTGCTCTTCACATGTTTACCACATGTACAGAGCCCCTGTTGGGTGGCCTGGTCTTTGATACTTGAGTGACTGAGCCTGTCATTCAAAGGAGCAGACATTCCATATCAGGAAGAACAGTTTTATAAGCAGCTTGAAGTCCACAGTCAATGAGTTGCTTCCATGGCTAAAATATTGGTACCACAGAGTGCGATTCTTTCCCTCACAGATCTGTTTATAAGCATCTGCATCAAGGACCATTTCCTCTGATTACTTAGTGATGGTTTTTAGACCCATTTTATTATGTAGAGACGTATTAATCTGTGGCCTGTATGGAGTCAGCGGTAGTCATACATGCAGATTAGATGTGTGGCCTTAACACCTGATATGTTTGCAGCCTTAACAAGACACATGGCACAAATGTCCCCATTAACTTCCAGCGTTTAAATTGATCATTTTCTCTCAGTCTCAGTGCATTTCAGAAAATCTGGTTATTGAGTAAATCTCTTTACTTATACAAAACATTAAAGTTAAATTTCCTTTTACATTCCTGAAGTAAAATTAGTCACATGCTTAATTACAGATGAACTTTATGGCTAAAGAAACCTGCTAAAGTTCTATGCTTTTAAAATGAGTATTAACTTTAATAAATTACAGTATAGTTGAATTCTTCTTGTGCTCATCTATAGTAAGGATTAGGGCTCAATCAGCATCTTCACTGATGGACACTTGTAACCAAGGAAACTGCTTAGATGAAAGTTTATTGTTTACAGTTAAAGTACAACTTGAATTACAGTCTGTACATGTACCTGCATGCATGAGTGCACACTGCCTGTGTGTAGATGCCCACAGAGGCCCAGGTATGTTCACATCCCCCGGAGCTGGGGCTCCAGGTGGTTCTGGAAGTTAATGGGGACATTTGTGCCATGTGTCTTGTTAAGGCTGCAAACATATCAGGTGTTAAGGCCACACATCTAATCTGCATGTATGACTACCGCTGACTCCATACAGGCCACAGATTAATACGTCTCTACATAATAAAATGGGTCTAAAAACCATCACTAAGTAATCAGAGGAAATGTACCTTGATGCAGATGCTTATAAAACAGATCTGTGAGGGAAAGAATCGTACTCTGTGGTACCAATATTTTAGCCATGGAAGCAACTCATTGACTGTGGACTTCAAGCTGCTTATAAAACTGTTCTTCCTGAACACTGCCTTGTGTTGGAAGGACATGAAACTCCCTGAGCTGCCACGCTGTCTCTCCAGCCCTGCAGCACACATCTTCCTACTCATGCACTTCCATCACTAGAAGTCCCCAACATACTTCAGGTCATCGTGGGATCTAGGCTTTGGTGTGTGATTGCTATCTGCATCCCAGAATTGTCTCCTGGGCCCCCATAACAGTCCAACTTTCATTGTGGGCACTTATGCCCACATCTCCTAAAGAAACTCTCTCCCAGGAAAAGGAATATATTAAATGCAGAACTTTGAACTCTGATTCGCTGACATCACAGGATGCCAGAGGCATGCAAGTGGGAGCTGAAGGAGAAGGCCAGACTCCCCATTCTTGATCTATACATGCAGGCGTCTCCATAAGGGAGCGGCTCACACCCATCCTACTCTGGGACCTTAGCACTGAGAGTAAGAGCAGTGAGCCCTTGACCATGCTTCTTTGTATAGAAGTATCCCAAGCCTGTGAGATTCAGTGGAGGTGACTGAGCAACATCTCATCTCTGTTCTATGCTGGGAGCCTGTGCTTAGTTTGAATGGTGAAGCAGAGTACACAGGAAACCATTCCATCTGTCTGTGCTGGACTTACTAATGTGGAAGATTTTCCTGAAAGGAAATTTTCATTCAGTTGGGACAAGTCATAACTGAAATGCCTTCACCATTTTTATTTGGGAGTGGGGAAGTCCAGAGAAAACTGAGAAGTAAATATTTATTTCCAAAAAGTAACAAAATAGAGGTAAAATACTTTCATTACGATCTTTATCTACTAGTTCAGTTAAATGTTTGTCTGTAGATACCAACTTCTGGGTTACTAGGAATCCAAGGACATGGCTGTGGCTTAAGAACTCCACAGATGAGAGGAGAAGGCATATAAGAAGACCCCGACCCACCACAGGCATTCAGTACACACCCATAATGCCCACCCAGGCAGCTTCTTCAGGGGACAGCATCATCTGAGGTACCCTTTGTCAGGGTTAGGACAACATATGGGTGGGCCTAAGGCCCTTGAGATGTTCCCAATTGTAGTTGAAGTTTTTCTGTGTCCACCCAGCTCCTGCAGCTGCTCAGACCCAAGTAAACACACAGAGACTTATATTACTTATAAACTGTATGGCCGTGGCAGGCTTCTTGCTGTCTAGTTCATATATCTTCAATTAACCCATTTTTATTAATCTATAAGTTGCCATGTGGCTTGTGGCTTACCGGTACCTTACATCTTGCTTCTCATGGTGGTGGCGGCTGGCAGTGTCTCCAGACTCAGCCTTCCACTTCCCAGAATCCTCCTCTCTGCTTATCCCACCTGTACTATACGTCCTGCCTGACTACTGGCCAATCAGTGTTTTATTTATCAGTCAGTCAGAGCAACACATTCACAGCATACAGAAAGACATCCCCAGCACCCAATCCCCTGTCCCTTGGGAATATATAGTCAGGCATGCTTCTCTGCTCTCCTAACTATTCTACTGTCCACCCTAGGGGAGATCCCTTTCCTTCAAGACCTTCCTCATTTGGGTTTTGATCAGTATCTACCAAGGTAAGACAGACCCTGATTTTGCCAGACCAAAAGAGTGTGTGTGTGTGCGTGTGTGCGTATGTGTGTCTGTGTGTCTGTCTGTGTATGTGTGTAGGCAGTACTGTTTTCTATTTTCACCCGCAAATTAAATTTCAACAGTTTTAGTTTCTTCAGCAGTGAAGTATTGGCCTCTGTTTATCTTGTAGATTGGTATTCCAGCATGTGGATGTGTGCAGTGATATTCTAGGGAGAGCTTTTGATTTTGGAGGTTTTGAATTTTAGAGATAGGGTGTCTTGTAGCCCAAGTGGGTTCAGTCAAGCTCATTTGTAGCTGAGACTGGTCTTGAACTCCTGATCCTTCTATTTCCACCTTCCAAGTGCTGGGATTACAGGTCTGTGTCACGTGCCCAGTGTGTGTGGTGCTAAAGGTCAGGCCCATGACCTCCTTTAGACAAAGCCGGTGCTCTACCTACTTAGCTGCGTTCCCCAGCCCCAGACTGGTACTTTTTAACTATTGTATGTCAGCTAATCAGAAAACTCTAGTAAGCACTTTTATACTGTGCTGTACAATGGTTTCCTATGAGATAGTGAAAATAATAAGGCTTTGAGATAGATACCTGTTATGTAACTGGAAGCTGTTGCCCTCTGCTAGAGCTCCAGTGAAGGACAAATTACCTGAGCATGACTGGCTGGCAAATCAGAGATCTTGTGTAAGACATACTATGAAATCAACCAGAGGGGAAGTTGGCTTCCTGCAGCTCTTTAAAGTTTATGAACCTCCAGCATTGGACTGGCCTGTGTGTTCTCACAAAGAGTGTCTGTGCTCCTGGTCCCTGTTGCGTGTGTAAGCCAGCTGGTCCTGTGCTCCCTTCTCTAGCTAGCTTATGCAGTCAGTTCCCAAGCCAGCAAAGAAGCTGCACTGAAAGGCTGCTCTACCCTCCTTCTCCCAGGTGGCATCCTCATGTACGGGGCTCTGGTGCTCTTCGAGGCGGAGTTCGTCCATGTCGTGGCCATCTCCTTCACAGCACTCATCCTGACTGAGCTGCTCATGGTAGCTCTGACTATCAGGACATGGCACTGGCTGATGGTTGTGGCAGAGTTCCTCAGTCTGGGCTGCTATGTTGCCTCACTTGCTTTTCTAAATGAGTATTTTGGTAAGTGCTTGAAGCTTTGATTCATTGTCTCCAGCAAATTAACCTTTTGTTGTCATCTCTTCAGTAGCTCATACTATAGACAAATCCCATAGCAGAAAGTTTCACAACACAGAAGCTGGTTTTTATGGGAAGATAAAAATCTTGCAGTGATTTTATACAGTTAAGACCTTCACAGTCTTACTTAGGTTTGTTCCCAGTCATTTTCCCTACAAGAGCTGTGCTATTTATGTTTCCATGGTGGAAGCCACTGACTGCCTCAAGGCAGGCGCTTTTAGAGAGGAGGTCTGGGTGGGCATGTGCCACGTGTATTCTACTTCCTTCTGCTGTCTGCAGAAGTTACAGCAACCCAGCAGCCAGCCAGTTTTCTCATGGTAGCCTTAGGCTCCTCACTGTGTGGTGTGGGGTCTTCACCAGCACTCTCTGAGATGGAGTCTAATGCCTGTTGCTTCTAATGCATTCCTTATGCTCGCCTTAGCCCAGCTCACAATGACTTGCCAGATGACTTTGGGATATGGGACCACTCTGAACCCAGCTTTCTTAGAAAAAAGGTCCTAAGTGAAGTGTGCTGTGTTTCCTCAGGAGTTGCCCATCTGTGAACCTACACTACTGTGTCCTCAACGTTCCCAGTACCTCCCATGTCCCTTGGCACTGCTGCACCCTCACCTGGCCCACTCTGCTACACACTGATAGGTTTCCTCATTCTTCTTCCCCATCCAGAGGGTGAGAATGGCAGAAGCCAGCTCACCTCGGTCGTTGTGGCTGATTCTTTCCTGAGATCTGTCAAATCAAGGCAGAAAGCAAAGGTGCCCATTTGAGCATCAGTGAGTGTGGGGCTGCACTGCTCCTGGCGTACAGAAAGTACCCAGTGGGGTACCCACTTCCCAGGCTTCAAATAGAGGGTTTGGACATGCTCCATGTACCCATGGTGTGCGTTCTTATAGCTGCCCGATAGGCAAGCAGTGTGCTTCCTATCCGAAAGGAAAGGCTCCAGGCTTCAGAAAGGAGAAAGCTTTACGTGTCCCTCTGTGTTCTTCATGTTCACCCATGACAGCAGCAACAGGTGCCATCATGAGCAGTTGTCCATACAAGTTAGTCACACACCTATGGCCCCTGCACTTAACATGGAGACACTGCGACTTTGGGGTGATGAGTGTGGAGTTTGCACACTGATGAATAACAAAACCTCTCTAGGTCGTGGATCAAAGCCACAGTGAGTAAATTCAGTTGCTGTAGGCCATCACTCTTTAGACCAGGCAGGGGATGATGCAGATGGGAAGTGGAAAGAGTTAGCTATACATTAAGAGAAACATGAAATATACATATATAATGCCTATGACTTGTAAGAAAGGGCTTTCAAATGAGAGTGTCAGGTGTGGCAGTGTTCTGAAGTGGACACTCTTAGACACTAGCACAGGTTCAGGGAACGTGTCTGGGCATTTGCTTCCATGTTATAGTGACGTAACTGTTATATTGCATTCTGTTTAAAAGATTATGTGGCAGCAGGCAATGAAATGAAAGTTTACAACCCCAACCCCAAGTGCATTTCACGCTAACATTCTACTGCTCTTGAATGCATTTCTCCAGTAAGTAGCTAACTAACCACTTAATGCCTGAGCCTCTTTCAAGCTTTCCTTCATCTGCTTTATTCATGTTTTCTCTTGGCACAGGTATAGGCAGAGTATCTTTTGGCGCTTTCTTAGGTAGGTAAAGTTATTATTCCCTTCCAGAGTACAGACATTTAGGTAAACAGTGTTGGTTGGCACACTAGGCTAATTCTTTAAAGTTCCAGTACAAACCAGTTTTCCTCTAACTTAGCACTTCTCACCTCACTAAGACCTCGGGAAACCGCCCTGAGCTACCTACCCGCATAGTGTGCTCCTGGGTGTTTTCTGGCATCTGGCCCAGCTGTCCTTCCTAAAACAGTCTTGCCTGTAAGTGCCAGCTAGAGGCTTTCTCCAGCTGTGCATGTAGGGCCTAGAGCCTAGGCCCTACTGTAAGTCTGTAACTCTAGTGAGCAGACCCTCTTATCCCAGCTTTAACAGCAGTCTAGGGGACTCTGCAGTTTCTAGACTCTTATGCACAGGTGAGACTTTTCACATGTGTGTTGCCATGAGGACTTTGATGACCTTGTTAACAGCAAAGTGAGCCTGTGTCCTATGTAAATCATGCTAAAGTGTTGTCTACCTGTTAGCCATGTACAATCCCTTCCCAGTGCCAAAATGTGTTCACTGTGTTGAGAGAAGCACAGATTGAACAGGTGTACAGATCAGACAGACAGCTGGGCAGTCAGGACAGTCAAGGTCAAGGGCAGACCTGTGTGCATGACCATGATGGAGCCCATGGCTCTGGGAATGCTGAGGGTTCAGTCTGGGTGGGGATGGTCTTAGGGCCTAGAAGCTCCTGTAGCTGGCTCTCAATCTCTCCTCTACCTCCTCCTACAGATGTTGCCTTCATCACAACCGTGACCTTCTTGTGGAAAGTGTCAGCCATCACTGTGGTCAGCTGCCTTCCACTCTACGTGCTCAAGTACTTGAAGCGAAAGCTGTCCCCTCCCAGCTACTCCAAGCTGTCCTCCTGAGTATGACAAGAGGCCAGGTAGAGACACTCCTGCGCTGGGCAGCATGAGGGACTGGCACTGCTGGTGGGCTGAGGGCTGAGCTCCCCCGGCCTTCCTCCCAGTGTCTGTACTGAAGCAGCATGAACAGCTACTGAAAGGAAGTGATTGCTTCAGCACGGCTGGGCAGGCTTTAGTTCCTGAGCATCCGAAGCCTGATTTCTGCAGTGTCCCAGTACTTGGCTCCTTTCTTTGATGGTGTACTGTAGAAAGCCATTCCTGCTCAGACTGGAGATGCCATGCCTGCACATGCCACTGTGCCTCAGCAGACAGTGGGCCTGCTCGTCCACCCTCTGCCACGGGCACACTCCTCTTCAGATGCAGTTTCGCTTCTCAGTGGACAGTACACACATAACAAGCCCAATGGCCAAGCGGTAACACTTCTGATATCCTAATTCCGTTGCAGCTATGAATGTAAACCATTCCTCAAGGCACTGCTGTTAGATGATACATTTTTATATCTGTGAAACCATATCCAAACTGTTTACGTAGAACTCAGCTGTCCTGTGCCACTCACAGCACCACAGTGCTTTGCTTCCTGAGGAGGTGTCCCTAGTCCACCTGGTCATCATACTCTCAGCACTCGTCTGAGCCCGTGATGGCAGGTCCTCTGTCGAAGGCTGCACTGAGGGCTGATGGGAGTTCCTTGGAAGGATGCTGGGTTAGAGTTCGCCCCATGCATTGTGTGTGTGCAGCTCTGCACTGGGCAGTATGTGCCCACCACACAGTGGGTCTCGTGACCTCAGCTCTTCACACTGTAAAGCAGGCTGTGGGAGTCTCCTTTGCACTAGTTTTTTGTATATGTCTATGCTCTTCAGCTTGACTTCCCCTCAAATGTGGGCCCCTAAGATCCCACAATCTTTGGGGAAGGACAAGCTGTGTGAGTGGAGTACTGAGGATGTTGCCCAGCAGGCCACGGTCTGGGCAGGACCCTCCACCTAGGCTCCTGTGAGCACTGCTTTTCAGAGGAGAAACTCTTGGGCTGCAAATAAAGCTTCATCTGTCCCTACAGTGCCTGTTGACTTGACCGCTTTTGTTATTAGTAAGGAACCTCCTGGATGCTTAAGCATTCCCTTTCCTGACAGAACTGCAGTCAGGAAAGGCTGTTTCTTACATCCCCCACAAGGTGTCACTGTTTGTTGTCAGTTCACAGGCGGTTTTCTTCTCCCTTTTGAAAGAGGGAGCCCAGAGGTCATTGACCAACATGTCTGACTGGACTTCATGATGTCCCCACCCCTTCATTGATGCAGCGTGAATTAAGGGTATCGGATTCACAGAAATGCCAAGAGGCCATGAGCTGAGGGCATATTGCTTGGGTCAGGGTGTAGACTGACTGCAGATCACTCACTCACCTGGGAACACAAAACACACACACACACACACACACACACACACACACACACACACACACACACACACACACACACACGGAAAACTAACCAGCGTGGTGGTAAAGAGTTTTGGGCAGCCTCAGAGAACAATATACCATGAGCCTCTGGGGTTCAGCAACTTTCACACAGTAGTGGGGTACAGAGCAGGAGAAGTAGTCAGCCTTTATGTCTTCAGAGGTTGAGATGCATGGAATCCTAGTTAGAGGCTGTGGGAAGCCGAGGTGGCTTCTCATCCATGAAGTGAACATAATCTCCCCTCAGGGTGCCGCTGTCCGGGTCAAATGAGACGACGATGGGAGGAAGCCCTGAGCAGATGCCTGGCACACAGTGACTCAGAAGGTCTGTGTAGCACTGGTCCTTGGCCGGACTGAAGAAAATGACTGCTTAATAAAGGATCATTAGACCTGATCTAGCTCAGGCCTACAAAATAGCTCTTCAAGTGTCGGGAAAAGAGCCACCTTGAGGGGCAGCGTTGTGTTCCTGCTGGCTTTTGAGACAACTTTGTTGAGTGTAGTTTTAAATTCTGGAGCTGTGTGGGCCCCAGAAATTCTCCTGGACAGGCTTGCCTGCTGTGAGCACTTTGCAGCCCTCACAGGGCGTCTGCAGGCCTGCTCCTCTGCCTTGTGCAAAGAAAGGGCCTCTGCACTGTCTAAGGGCCCTGGTCTCGACCTCACTCCCCAGCCTCACTCCCCATTGGAAGCACCAAAGCAGGAAACTTTCACAATTTCTTCTAGTACACAAAGGCATGTGACAGACATGGTCCTGCTTATTACACGTGAAAAATGGATGTAAGCAAGCTGGCAGGAGAGATAGCAAGTGGACAGACTCCCTGGAAAGATGAAAAGATCCACTCACTCCAAGAAGGAGACAGCATTGGGATCAGAGGGTGGAGTGCAAAGAGTACAGAGCAGTAGAGCGGAGTGGAGGGTGGCACAGGAAAGGCCAGGGAGACAGGCATGGCGGGTGAACAGAGGGAAGAATGAGCTGTGGCCAGGTGGGAAGGTGCATGGGTAGGCAGCTGGATAGATAGTGGTTAAATAAGTGAGTGGATAGGTCATTGTGGGGGCAGGGGGATGGATGGCTGGGCGGGCGGGCGGGTGGTTGGTGTGCCCAGTAGGTGAATAAGTGAGGAAGCAGACAGCTGGATAGATGTATTGATAAAGAGATGAGTATAGACTGGTGGGTGGGTGGATGCTGGGTGATGAGTGGTCAGGTAAACTTAGATGGCCACAAAACATTTCAGCCTAGGACCACCATGCTTTTTCTTCTAACAGTTGTGAAGCAGAGAGGGCCTCGCTGTGTTCCCACAGAACCATAACATTGTTAAGGTGGCCACTGGTTCTTTCCTGTGGTGCTCAGAGCCCAGCAAAGAGGCTGTAGTAGAAAGACTCAGAGTAGCCGAGCAAGCCAAGTGCTGCCCCACCTCTGAGGGAGGCCTGGGAACCTGCTCTCATGGGCAGCCCCAAGCATGATAAGTGTACCAGAGGCCTTAGTCAGAAGACAGCTGACCCAGCTAGACAGAGAGCAAAACTAACTACATCCTAGACTGAGACACAGTGGGCTGAAAGCAAATGTACGGGACGGCCACAGTGTGCTAACAAGAGGTATCATGAAGCCAGGTGGCCATGGCAGTATCATTCCCAGTAGACTGCATAATAAAAAATATCCCTTAGGCCAAAGAGAACATTTGATGGAAATTCTGCTGAGGTGAAGTGGATACATGGAAGAACACTCTGGTCTCAGTAGACCAGTTGCCTTCCTAAGCATAGCTAGCTTATTTTCATTTTTTTAAGATTCTTTTTCTCTGTGTATACATGTAGTGTGTGTGGTGCATGTGCATGTATGTATATGCAGGTATGCACGCCCATGCATATGTGGAGACCAGAATGGGATATCAGGTGGCCTGCTCTATCATTCCCTGCCTTACTCCTTTGAGACCAGATCTTTCCCTTAACCTGGGGCGAGGCTAGTACCCAGCATGCCCCACCGATCCCGCCATCTGCCTCACAGCACTGGGGTTACAGATGCAAACAACCACACCTAGATTTGTATGTAGGTGTTACAGACGTGAACTAAGTTCGTGCTTACATAGCAAGTGTTGTTACCTACTAAAGCATCTCCCCACCTCTGTGATTGGCGTCTGTACCACTGTCGGTAACAGCAAGCCTGGAAGGAGAGAAACCACGGTGATGCTGTCAGCCCATCGCGATAGCTGGGCACCCAGCCACTGCAGAAAACACTGCAGAGTGGCAGGTGCTGACTCGGGGACAGCCCCAAAGAAGCCCAAAGCCAGATTCAAGGAGGCATGATTCCAACACTTAGGAGGCTGAGGCAGGAGGATTGTAAATTTGAGGACATAACAAGGCCCTGTTTCACAAATCAAAACAAAAATCAGTCTGTTTATAAGAAGGCGGAAGAAGGGACTGGCTAAAGAAATTCTAAACTATTTTCAACGTAATGAAAATGTCAAGATTTCAGAGACACAGAGCCATGCTTGAGGGATGGATAAGTCCAAATGCTTATATGAGAGGGGAAGTCTAAAATCAAGACTTCATTTCTGGGAAACTAGGGGGAAATAGCAAAGCAGGAAGCAAAATAATAATAATAATAATAATAATAATAATAATAATAATAATGTCAGCAAAGAAAGGTTCCTACTGGAGGCAATAATCCCAGAAGCCAGCTCTAAAGATCAGCTTGAGCCCCCACCCCACCCCACCCCACGTGCCATGCCCCCACATGCTGAAGAGAAAAGAGACTAAATCTCCATGCTTTGGTTCCATTGATGAGACAGAAGAGCCGGTTAGTGTAAAAACATACCTGAGAAAATCAGGAAAGTGAAAAGGCTCATTGGGTCCATGGTTTCTGGGTGTCAGCCCATAGTCCAGTGAAGCAGAGAATCACATCAGGAAGTGTGCGCTGGATCAAAGCTGCACTCTTGGAATGGACAGGAAGCTGAGAGGTACAGGAAGGGACCAGGGCTCCCATGTCCCCTTCCTTCTGGGCACACCCCTAGTGGCCTAAGCTCCTCCCTCTAGGCCCCATCTCTGACTAGGTCGCATACTTCCCCACATACCATCTCCTGGAAACCAAGCCTCAACACCTGAGTCTTTGGCAGGAACCCTGCAGTAACATTCTTGGGGCTTGGAGGGTGGGAAGCCGAACATTCTGTGGCAGGCAGTAGCAGCACTATAGCCCATCATTTCTGCTCCTCACTGTACATGGTAGACAGGGGAGGGGTCTTCCCCACAGCTTACAGTTTTTTACTTCCTATGAATGTATATTCAAAATACAAAGTTTTAAAAATAACGAAGATCTGCTGAAGCCCGAGAGACCTTCTGCGGAGTGGTCAAATCAGACACATCAGACCCTGGGCCGAGCGTGGGACGTGAGCTCAGGCCTAGGCAGCAGCCCTTCAGATTCCTCTGGTTTTTCTGGAAGGAAAGCCAGTTGGCAAGGCCAGTCGACTGCAAGCAGATCTGTGAGAGGCAGTGATGCGTGGCCTGTGGACAGCTCCCGTGTGGGCCAGTACCTGAGACCCAGCCCAGAGGGGAAGGACCTGCGTGGGCCAGGGGTCAAGAGGCCACAGGTTCATGTCTTAGGAAATGCCTGCCTGCCAAAGCTTCTGGCCTTGTGTTGCCACGGAACAGGACTCCCCAGGGTCGCAGAGGGTGCAGTAGGTACCAGGAGGGAAGGCTGCCAACCTGTCACTCCCACTGCTCGGTGGTTACTTTTTCAGTCCCACAGCTCTCCTGCAGAGTGTTCTTGGACCCTATGAGGATGTTGTCCTTAAGCATCCTCTTGCCCCAGCACATCTGGAGTCTGGCGCCTCCTGCTGCTGGCACCCTTGAGGGTGGGACTGGCCTTGCAAGCCTTCATGCCTCAGGACAGCAGCATGGTACCACAGGCATGCTAGGAGAGTGCAGTATCAATAATTAAGGGCTGGAGAAACTAAGGCACAGAGAACTTTAAGGGTTGGGGGGGAACTGAACTGACCTTGCAGGCAAGGGTGGTACATGTGTGGACCTGGCTGTGCCTAGCACACTGCTTCACAAGCCACAGGGCCACATCCATGTAGGTCCCTAAATCATGCTTGCTAGTACATCCAGGCCCATATAGAAGACCTAAAAGGAGTGGGATGCGACGAGGTCATAGAGCTGGACATAAAAAAGCACCTTTGTCCCCAATGCTGGGTCTGCACCCTGCAGCCCCCGAGTTTTCCCAACCAGGGGCTCCACTGGGTACCAGTCAACCCTGGCCTCTCCACTCTTCTCATGCAAGATTGGCTGGCTTCACATCCCCATATAAAAGCTGCCCACCTACAAATGTAACTGCACAACCATGCCAAGCCCTACATTCTCCCTTCAGTTTGTAAGTGTCCGCAGGATTTGGCCGAAGCCTCAGTGGGATATGATCTGCTCAGCTCTGCCTACTCCCCTCTGTCCTGCCTTTGGGCATCGGTCAGTGACTTGACAATATGAGTCTGGGAAGGACCCTGGATGGACAGTGTCCAGCTCTAGATCCCAGTCAGGCACATGACACCAACCTGTGTCATCACACAGTGTCTTTCAGCGGTGCGTAGATGTCAGGTTATAAAACGCCACCTCCCACCAACCACTG